TTTTTTTTATTGTTTCTCTCTTATCTTTGCAGGCAATGCCGGCGTGAACGAAAATTTGGAAATCGATGATTTATTCTGGATTCGCCAGCCAACCACCCAGCCAAGTTCAAAAGTCCAAAACCCATAATTCAGGGCAATGAGAATTTTTTGCTTTCGCCGTATTTACGTCAAGCGTAGAAACCAAGCAATTGAACTAAATACCCATGACTAAAACGGTGTCATTGTGGTTGTCTGTCTCTACGCTGCGTCACACAAAACTGACGAACGTGCATCCCCACCAACAACAAAATTTAATGCGAATGAAATGAAAAATGCCGCCAGCTATTATTGTGTGATAGTCGGGACTATCCATTCTCGTTAATCGCCGTTACATGTTTGTGATCCTCAGGCCAAAAAAACCTCGCGATCTCACCGGAATTCAATGCTGTACGCGCTCTGTGACGCTGATCGGTAATCACATACATCTATTGAAAGCCCATTTTCGTCGTCGTCATCGCCGTCGTCGTTGTGATCCGGCGTCAGCAGCATCCAAGTGCGCGCAAGTGTTTTTTTTTTTTTAGTTTTCCCATTGAGGCATAATATTCTGAATAATTTTTGTGACAGATCACTTTGTTCGCCATGCGACCGGCTATCCGTCCGTCCGTCCATCCATCCATCCAACGGGCACCACTTGACGTCATTTCTTTTAAATGACTAATAAATTCACCTAAATTCAATTAGTCTTAATAGGAACGAACGGAACACAATGACAATTGTGACGCTAGCGTTTCAAGTGTCAGACAGACATGCTGACGCGTAATGCCATGATTTGTCAAAAAAAAGAGCAGAACAACGGAACACAAATTTTTCGGTTGGTGAAATAAAGACGGTTGAAAGTTAGAAAAAAAAAAAACATATGAAACCTGAAAACAATTTCAAAATTTCTTGAAAATTTGAAAACCACAAGAGAACTACTCCCTTGGTTAGTAAAATCGTAACGTGGAGTTATTTGGATTGTTCACTTATCATAGCTTGACTTGAGGATTAATTATCAGCGAAATAGAACATAGAGAAATCGGTATTCATGACAAATAGGAGGCATATTATTTTTTCTGCTACGAATTTCGGCACTAAATTGCATTGATTCTGAAAGAAGAAGGTCTGGCCTTTACCCCGATGTAACAATAGTTTATATAACTCCAAAACTAACAGAGATATAGATAAATGTAACCAAACGCAAAAAAGTCCCAAATTTTCGACATTTTTGAGTAATACCCTTCCGAAGGCTATAACTTTGGAAATTGTCAGGATATATCCAACATTTTGCTTGATTCGGAATATATGGAAGGCCTTCTCTTCAGTTTTGTATAATATTGACACATTCCTCACGGAGTATTTTTCAAAAATTGAACAACCAATTGGAGAATTTAATTTACTAGTTAAATAGATTTTTAGTTTCTATTACCCTTCGAGGCGTATTTCCCATTCTGGTCGGGATTTCGGCAATAAATCCCATAAATATCGAAAGAAGAATGTCTTACCTTTTCCCCGTTGTAATAATAGTTTATATACCTCGAAAAATAACAGAGATAGAGATCAATGAAATCAAACGCAAAAAAATCCGTAATTTACACATTTTTGAGTAATAGCCTTTCTCAGGACATAACTTTGGATATTTTCAGTATATATCCAATATTTTTCTAGATTCGGAATATATGGAAGGCCTTCTTTCCAGTTTTGTATAAAACTGATACATTCCCTAAGTATAATTTTTCAAAAATTGAACAACCAATTGAATAATTTGATTTTTTTAGTTAAATATATTTTAAATGACTTTTACCCTTTGAGGAACCTCTTTCATTCTGGTCAGGATGTTGGAACTAAATTGCAAAAATTTCGAAAGAAGAAACTTATGCCTTTCCGACGTTGTAACAATAGTTTATATACCTCGCAAAACAACAGAGATATGCCTGAAAGAAAAGATGCGCAAAAAACTGCCAAATTTTCGACATTTTTGAGTAATAGGCTTTCAAAGGCCATAACTTAGGAAATTTTCAGGATATATCCAACATTTTTCTAGATTCGGAATATATGGAAGGCCTACATTCCAGTTATGTATAATACTGACATAGTACCCACAGAAACTTTTTCAAAAATTTAACAACAAATTAGAGAATTCGATTTGTTAGTTAGATAGATTTTTCATTTCTATTATTCTTCGAGGCGTATTTTCCATTCTGGTGCAATTTTTGGCACTAAATTGCATTGATTTGGAAAGAAGAAGGTCTAGCCTTTACAGCGACGCAACTTTAGTTCATATAGCTCGTAAAACAACAGAGATATGCCCAAGAGAAAACATGCACAGAAAAATGCCAAATTTTCAATATTTTTGGGTAACCGTCGTTCAAAGGCAATAACTTCGGATATTTTCAGAATATATCTAAAAATTTACTTGATTCTGAAAATATGGCAGGTCTACTTTCCACTTTTGTAAAATACTGGCATATTCCTTATCGAGAATTTCTCAAAAATATAAAAAAAAATCCATAAGGAAATAGGGTGATCTCAAAATCAAGGGGAACGAGTTTTTTATATTTTTTACTCTAAGATGTATATCTTTCGGCTCGTTTAGATTTTCCCAAACAAAACTACATAATTCGGAAAGTAAATGTTTTAGCCTTCAGATTCATATAGCATTTAGGTAGTGTTACTCCCAAACTACATGAGATACGCCTGAAGGAAGACTCGCGCAAAAATGTGTCATGTTTATGTCCTTATTGAGTAATCGTCTCTTTGCGGCCATAACTTCCGAAATAATGGGTGCATTTCCATAAAATAAGCAGAGTTGGAAAGTGCGAAAGATTCCCTTTCCAGTGTTGCCCAATATTGGCACAACTCCACCAAAAACTGTATCCAAAATATATAAAAATATAGGGTGATCTCAGCATCAATGGAAACTAGTTTTTCAATTCTTTCGTTCTAAGTCGTTTATCATTGATCTCGTTCAAAATTTTCCGAACAAAGTGGTATTATTAAGGAAGTGCATGTGCTTAGCGTTATAAGGATTTAACTTTTTGGTGGTTTAACTCCCAAAATATCAGAGATATGGGCAAAATAAGTTGAGTGCTCAAAATTGCCCAATTTTTTACCTTTTTGGGTAATCGCCTTCCAGAGGCCAAATCTTCCGGAATCATTGCTAAATCTTGATGCAATTACATGTTTTTGAAAGAAGCTAGTCCAGATTAACAGAGTTGCCATACTACCAATTGAAATATAGTCCAAAATTGGGCAGTTTTGTTATGAGCCTGGAAAATAATCTTGATATTTTTGCGAAAGGGTCCCGAGACCATATCTTCCGGAATGATCGGTAGATCTTAATGCAATTGTATGTTTTCTGAAAGTAGGCACCCTTAGCTTTGTTCTGACATACAGTGTTGCCATATTTCCAAGCGAAATATCGGAAAAAATTGGGCGGAATCGATGTACCCAAATGTTCCTTTCTTTTGGATCTTTTTGGGTAATCGCCTTCCAGAGGCCCTATCACCCGGAATAATTGTTAGATCTTAATGCAATTACATGTTTTTGAAAGAAGGGACCCTTAGCTATGTCCTGACTTGCAGAGTTGCCATGTTTCCAATTGAAATATCGGCGAAAATTGGACGGAATTTAAGTACCCAAATTGTCCTTTTTTGGAAATTTTTGGGTTGTCATATTGCAGAGGCCCTATCTTAGGGAATAATTGGTAGATCATAATGCAATTATATGTTTTCTAAAAGTAGGCACTCTTAGCTTTGTTCTGACATACAGTGTTGCCATATTTCCAATTAAAATATCGGCGAAAATTGGACGGAATTTAAGTACCCAAATTTGCCCTATTTTTCACCTTTTTGGGTAATCGTATTGCAGAGGCCTTATATTCCGGAATAATTGGTAGATTTTAAATGCAATAAATTTTTTTGAAAGTAGGCATCCTTAGCTTTGTTCTGACGTATGGTGTTGCCATATGTCCAATTGAAATATCGGCGAAAATTGGGCGGAATTTAAGTACCCAAATTTCCACTTGTTTTGGATATTTTTGGGTAATCGTGTTGCAGAGGACTTATCTTCCGGAACAATTGGTAGATTTTAATGCAATTAGATGTTTTTGAAAGTAGGGACTCTTAGCTTTGTCCTGACTTACAGAGTTGCTATATTTCCAATTGAAATATCTGCGAAAATTGGACGGGATTTAAGTACCCAAATTTCTTCTTTTTTTAATCTTTTTGGGTAATCGCCTTCCAGAGGCCATATTTTCCGTAGTTATTTGTAGATTTTAATGCAATTGTATGTTTTCTGAAAGTAGGCACCCTTAGCTCTGTTCTGACATACAGTGTTGCCATATTTCCAATTGAAATGTCGGCGAAAATTGGACGGAATTTAAGTACCCAAATTTGCCCTATTTTGGATCTTTTTGGGTAATCGCGTTGCAGAGGCCTTATCTTCCGGAGTTATTTGTAGATTTTAATGCAATTGTATGTTTTCTGAAAGTAGGCACCCTTAGCTTTGTTCTAACATACAGTGTTGCCATACTATCTAATTGAAATATCGGCGAAAATTGGGCGGAATTTAAGTATCCAAATTTGCCCTATTTTGGATCTTTTTAGGTAATCGCTTTTTAGAGGCCATATCTTCCGGAATAATCGGTAGATCTTAATGCAATTACATGTTTTTGAAAGTAGGGACTCTTAGCTTTGTTCTTACCTACAGTGTGCCCATATTTCCAATTGAACTATCGACGAAAATTGGACCGAATTTAAGTACCCAAATTTCCCCCTTTTTTTGGACTTTTTTGGGTAATCGCCTTCAAGAGGCCATATCTTCCGGAATAATTAGTAGATTTTAATGCAATACAATTTTTTTGAAAGTTGGGATCCATAGCTTTGTCCCGATGTGCAGTGTTGCCATACTTCCAATTGAAATATCGGCGAAAATTGTACGGTTTTGTCATGAGCTTGGACAATAGTATTTCAAGCAAATCTCCCAGCATTTTGTCTGAGACAAGTTTAGATTATTTTGTAGGGATCCCTATGATGGTCGAACAATCCAGATTCTGACTCCACATTTTGACCTTATTTCATCACCCATTGTAGCCCAAAAAAAAAAAAAAAATACGAAAAATAAAAATAAACAATTTACAATTTTATGGCAAAAATCAATTATTGAGAAAACGAACAACATTTCCAATAACGAAAAAAGAAGAACAAGACGGCGACATCTAACCATCCACCGATCCATGTGCGATATATACAACATGCTGTAATCTAATCGCGCTGAAACAAATAAAAATAATAGACAAAAAAAAAACAATAACAACAAACTATGATAAACGACGTAAGCAAAATGCCAGAAAACCTGGCGGCGACAGCAGCTGCGATCAACGACTCTAAACTGCAACGCCACAATGGCAACAATGATGTGGTGGGAGAGCAGCAGAGAGAGGAAGAGCGGGGCCATAATGTCAACATGGTGGGTGAGTGGAGAGAGCAAGAGAGGCCGTCGGGTTTGCCGAGAACTGATAATGCTGGTGCTGACACAACCCACGCCAATGGCAATATTTGTAAACAACAACAGACGAGTGGCAACGAAGTATTAACGACCACGACGACGATGACAATCTCCCGGCCGAGTGCGTCAAACAATTCAACAAGTGGTTGTTGTTGCTGCGGCCATAGAGAGCCGCAGCAGCATAAACTCAATAGTGTTGTTGCTGCCCTGGGAGAACAAACGGTAAAACCTTCCTCCTCATCATCATTGCCGTCGTCATCTTCGTCATTGTCGCCATCGTTGCCTATCGTCGCCGAAGTATTACAAAATCAAACGGCAACGCTGTTGACGCATAAAACCATAACAAAGCCAGCCAGCGAAGCCAGTTATCAGAGAACTCTGGAAACGGAAACATCACCAATAAATTGCCGTAACGCTCACCAATGTGAACTACTGGAATCGAACTCAGCTCGGCAGCCAGTAGTAGTAAGCAGTATTCAAGACAAGCCAGAACTAATACAACACGCAGAGGAAATTTTACGGATACCTAGTTTGGCGGAACGTAAAGCTCTATTGAAGCAGGAATTTTTCAAAGATTTCTCCCAATTGGATTACCAGCCGAAGACCTCAACGCTAAGCAAACGCCTGCTAAAGAAGCAACACAATTTGAAATTGAAAATTCCACAAAAAAAATCCGCAGATACGGAACCTAAATCCCTGGTGGAATTAAGGAAATTGGATTTACAAGCCAAGAAATCTCTGAAGAGCAGTTCTAACCCTCACCTAGCCGAGGACGCAGCAAAAGTTTTCCCCAGTGTCAAGGAATTGGCCAAACGTTTCGACATGATTGTGCCCCAAGCGAAAATCGCCAGTGACATGGATATGGTCTCGCTGAAACCGGAAGTTTTGGATCAACGCAGCTCACCTCTCTCCGATGAGGGTTGCAATTTGGGCCAAAGTCCCTATAGCTCGGATGATGACAATGAGTCGATACGTACCACCCACACAGCCATAGAACGTGTACCGAAACGCAAAGATAAGGTGGCCCGATCGGCCAGCAGTGATTCAGCCTTGGGTTTGGATGTGGATGAGTCTCTCATGGATACCTCAGAGGCCACACCACCCAGCGGGCAGCAACAACAAAAACGACGCATGACCTTGACGGTAACAGATTTACCTCTCAGGCCGGCCCTTTTGCCTTTGGCTGAACCCACAACCCTTCCAGACTCCCCGCCCGTGGATATGCTGGCCAATTTTAGCCTCAACCAAACACAAATACCCACCAAAGTTCTGCTCGAGGAAAGGGTGGTGGAAATTCCCGAGGATCCTCGGTCGGGAGGCAGTTCTAGGCGTGAATCTTCCCAGTCATGCATTTCCGATTTTCCCCCAGCCGATATGCAGGGTGTGCGCTTTGTGCGCACCCCCTCCGTGGTGGTCTCTGACTATTCCGATGATATTATGTGTGGCATAACGCTGGAGGAAATCGAATACTTTCGGGCCCAGCGAATGCGACGTCGTTCCTCATTGGATACCGCCGGCACGGAAAAAGATGCGCTCGACAATAACTCCGATGTAAGTGCAGCCTCGTCGTGTAGTAACCTCTACTATTGTGGTTCAACCATATCGGCCCTGGATGGGGCGGAGTGCCTGGTCAATGGCATGCGCCTACAGCTGGAGCGTAAAACCTCCGACTGTTCCACCTGTTCGGCCAGCGGAGATGAGGATAATGCCTGCGGTATTCACAGCAGCAGCAACCTTACCATACCCGAACAACCAGAAGACTGTCAAGATTTAAGCGATTTGTTGGCCAATCAACATCTGTCCTGCAAACGTTCCAAAAAGGTAGGTTCAACAGCGACGGGATTTCTAAGTGTAGACAATACGCCCCTGCCATAAGGCGGTGGGGTGGAGGAAACTCTAAGTCATTATAGGTTTTTAAGTGCTTCCACACACACACATTTCCTTAGTTAGACATTATTTAGTTAGAAAAAAAAACAACAACAACAAAATCTCACAAAATAATATTTTTTTTATTTTTATTGTTATTTTTTTTTGCCACATAAAAAAATAATTTTTTTAGTTTGTAAGATTTATTATAAGTTGTTTATTTTAATTATTGTAAATATTTTTGGAATACATTATTTAGTTGTAGAATTTATATATATAAAAATAGAAAAAGAAACCAACAACAACAAGAGTATTATATATAAAAAAAAATAAATATTTTAGATTTGTACAAAACCTCAAAGAATGAAAACAAAGAAACAAATAAACAAAATATCAAGAAAACGTCGTTTTTTGAAATCACTTCAGTTTTTAAAACAAAAAAAAAAATAATAAAATTTTTATCAAATGGGTGGTGGAGGGGTAAAATAAATTAAAAATAAAAATAAAAATACGTAAATAAAAAATAAAGATCTCCCGAAAATTAACTGAGAGAGCCATGATAGTAGCTACACCCAGTCTCCAGCTGTTATTGTTTATGTTTACATTTGGGCGCCACCTGATCGATTGGAGTGGATTTTTAATTTTTTATTTTACATTTCGAGGCATATCTTCCATTCTCGTCGGAGTTTTGTGAATAAATTGGTCGAATTCTGAAAGAAGAAGGTCTTACCTTTACAAAACTGCAAGAATAATTCTTGTAACTCAAAATATATTAGAGATATGCCTCAATGAAGCCATGCGCAAAACTTTGCACAATTTTTGGTAATTTTGGGTAATGGCCTTTCAAAGGACATAACTCACAAAATTGTCAGTTTATCTTCCTAAATGTTGCTAGAATCTGAAAGAATGGAAGACCTTCTTTCCAGTTATGTATAAAACTGGTATATTTCCCACCAGAAAATATCTCAAAAATTTACCAGCAATTTGAGAGAAATCGTAATCCATAAAAAGTAGATTTTTAATTTTTTTAAACTTTGAGGCATATCTTTCATTCTAGTCGGAATTTTGGGAATAGGATGGTGGAATTCTGAAAGAAGAAGGTCACACCTTTACAAAACTGCAAGAATAATTTATGAAGCTTGAAATATATTACAGATATGCCTCAATGAAGCCATGCGCAAATATTTACAAAATTTTTGGTAATTTTGGGTAATTGCCTTCCAGAGGCCATAACTTTCAAAATTTTCAATATATTTCCCAATATTTGCTTGATTCTGAAAGAATGGAAGACTCTCCTTCCACTTTTGTACAAAACTGATATATTTCCCCCAAGAAAATATCTCAAAAATTTAACAACAATTTGAGAGAAATCGTAATCCATAAAAAGTGGATTTTTATTTTTTCACATTTCGAGGCATATCTTCAATTCTGCTCGGAATTTTGGAAAAAAATTGGTGAAATTTTGAAAGAAGACGGTCTCACCTTTACAAAACTGCAAGAATAATTGTTGTAGCTCGAAATATATTACAGATATGCCTTAATAAAGTCATACGCAAAAATGTGCAAAATTTCTGGTAATTTTGGGTAATGGCCTTTCAAAGGCCATAACTCACAAAATTGTCAGTTAATCTTCCTAAATGCTGCTAGAATCTGAAAGTATGGAAGACCTTCTTTCCAGTTATGTATGAAACTGATATATTTTCCACCAGAAAAGTTCTCATAAATACAACAACAATTTGAGAAAAGTCGAAATCAATAAAAGTGTATTTTTACTTTTTTACACTTCGAGGCATATCTTTCATTCCAGTCGGAATTTTGGGAATACGTTGGGCGAATTTTGAAAGAAGAAGGTCTCACCTTTACAAAAGTGCGAGAATAGTTGTTGTAGCTCAAAATATATTAGAGATATGCCTCAATGAAGTCATGCGCAAAAATTTGCACAATTTTTGGTAATTTTAGGTAATGGCCTTTCAGAGGCCATAACTTTCAGAATTTTCAATATTTTTTCCCAATATTTGCTTGATTCTGAAAGAGTAAAAAACCCTCTTTCCAGTTTTGTATAAAACTGATATATTTCCCACCAGAAAATTTCTGAAAAATTTAACAGCAATTTGAGAGAAATCGAAATCCATAAAAAGTGGATTTTTATTTTTTTTTCACATTTTGAGGCATATCTTCCATTCTAGTCGGAGTCGGAGGTATAAGTTGGTCGAATTCTGAAAGAAGAAGGTCTCACCTTTACAAAACTGCAAGAATAATTGTTGTAGCTCAAACTATATTAGAGATATGCCTCAATGAAGCCATGCGCAAATATTTGCGTAATTTTAGGTGTTTTTGGGTAATCGCCTTTCAAAGGCCATAACTTTCAAAATTTTCAATATTTCTCCCAAAAATTGCTTGATTCTGAAAATATGGAAGACCCTCTTTCCAGTTATGTATAAAACTCATGTATTTCCCACCAGAAAATTTCTCAAAAATTCAACAACAGTTTGAGAGAAATCGAAATCCATAAAAAGTGGATTTTTAATTTTTTCACATTTCGAGGCATATCTTCCATTCTAGTCGGAGTTTTGAAAATAAATTGGTCGAATTATGAAAGAAGAAGGTCTCACCTTTACAAAAGTGCAAGAATAATTGTTGTAGCTCGAAATATACTATAGATATGCCTCAATGAAATCTTGCGCAAAAATGTGCAAAAATTTTGGTCATTTTGGGTCATTTCTTTCCAGCGACCATAACTTTCGAAGTTTTCAGTACATATTCAAAAAGTTGCTTGATTCTGAGAGTATGGAACACCATCTTTCCAGTTTGGTATAAAACTAATATAGTTTCAATCCAGAAGAATTCTCAAAAATTCAATAGCAAATTGTGGGCAATCGAAATCCACAACAAATGGATTTTTCTTTTTTTAATATTTTTCAACTCAAATCTTCTATTCTCATCGGAATATTAGCATTAAATGTATTGGATTTCAAAAGAAGAAGTTTTCGCCTTAACAATGGGGAAAGAATGGTTCATATTGCTAAAAAATATAGCAGATATGCCTAAATTAAATAAAACGCAAAAATGTGATAGTTTTTCGGTATTTTTGGGTAATTGCCATAAATAGGCCATAACTTTGGTAATTTATCGTATATCTCCTTAAAGTTAATTGATACGGAAAGTATGGAAGACAATCTTTCCAGTTTTGCATAATACTTATATATTTCCTGCCGGAAAAGATCTCAAAAATTGTATAATTTTTAACAAAAATCGAAATAAATTAAAAAAAGGCTTTGATTGTTGGTACTCTTTGACTGATACACCCTGTAATAGTGGATTTAAAATAAAAGGATGTTTATTCAGCATGGGAGAACACTCCCCTCAGACCACTTCGGAAATATCCCCCCCCTACAAGCATATATTTCAGCTAAAACTAGCTGAATTATTAAATGAGCCTCCAGGGCGTATGAGACATGACACCACTCATACGCCATATGGTACCCGCTTTATTATTAAGATAATGGGGCCAATATTCGTGGAATTTCAAAAACACCGGAGGCGTTTTGACTTATTTTTAAGATATTATTTTAAGGACCCTAATTTAAATAAGCTAGGATATTTTAGGAAATTCCATTAGGGATGAAAAGACTAAAAATGGTCTTTTTAGGAGGAAAACGAGTCTGGATTTCTTTCTCATGTTGGAGAGGGAGAAATTTTCGGATATCCTACAGATTTTTTTCTTGAAGCCAAAAATACCCAGATCTGTGAGTGAGGGGTTTGTCCCAAAGAGCTCAATTTTTTTGTATTCGAAAAAAATACGGAACAGAACGGAAAATGTTTGCCATTCTTCCAGAATCATTAATGTCCTCAAGGGAGGATTTTTTCCATATGCAAGAGATGAGCTCTCTCTCTTGTCCCATTGTCTTATTCAATTTTTAGAGTCCCCCCTCGAGCACCCCGGCCATCACCCATTTACCACTTTCTGGAACTAAAATTTTTCACTCTGCCATAAATGTTTTTCGAATCTTTTTTTGGGGGTTTTGTAATCGGACTCCAAAAACGATTTCATGGCGTCTGTTGTTATTTTTTTATTGTTATTCTCTTCATTTATATTACTACCTCCCCTTATTATCTTATCGGAATGAAAGAAAAAAATAATATTGTTCTGATATTTTCAGAATTATTTTTTTTTTCAATTCTTCTCGTTGCCGTTTTTTGTTGTTGTTACTGGTTAACCTTAATTAACTTTGGTGTTGGTACCGTTGTCGCTGGCAGTTGTTGTTTTTTTTATCTTTTTATTATAACGGCAACAGAAATTTTATCTGAATTACTTTATGAAATGGTGACTGGCAGGCGGGCGGCCGGGAAAAATTGTGGGCGAACTGAAAGGTAGACAGGCGGACAGACAGACAACCTGACAGGCAGACAGAAAGGTAAGTGGAGGTTGTCGGGATGGAAAATGCTGTTAAGAAGGTAATCATATCTTACAAAGTATAGATGGAATATGGCAGAATGTTCTGAAGAAATTAAAAAAAATCGGAATTACAGTGGGTTATGGCAACAGGAAATTTTGAGGGAAAATGAAGGGGAGTCATAAAAGTTTTTTGACGTAATTTTGGTATTTCCATTGGGTTAAGATCATATTTCCCTTTTGTCCATTATGGCCAGTTTTGACTGTGTATGGAGGGTGTTTATGTTTGGCGACAGATGGTTTGAACTTTTCTCTTCAAAAAAAAAGGTAAATATTTTTATGACAAAAGTTTATATTCGGCTATAAAAATAAATTAGGGTGGGGATTGTCAGAAAAAGTGTAACGCGTGTTTTTTTTTTTCAAAAATCATAAATTCTGAAGAAAAAAAAAATCACAACAAAAATTGGGAAACGAAATTTGAAACGTAGTCTTGGAAGTCCAGCAAGGTTCGTGGATTTTTTAAAAATATTTCTTAGAGCTCCAGCAAGGCTCGTGGATTTTTTAAAAATATTTTTTAGGGGTCCCACAAGGCTCATGGATTTTTAAAAATATTTTATAGGGGTCCCACAAGGCTCGTGGATTTTTTAAAAATATTTTTTTAGGGGTCCCACAAGGCTCGTGGATTTTTTAAA